CAGAACCAATGTAGGGGTGTTTCATTCCTTAAGCCAACACTAGTATCCACCTGCATCACCAGATGGGCTGATCTTAAGTGCTGTTGATAGTCAATATCAATGAGCAGCAGGGCTTAAGGAAATGAAGGGGAGGTTTTCATTTATCACAGTGGCCTAATCTGAACACTTAAATAGCAATTAAATAACATTTATTGCTCAAGGTTCATGATGAACTGTAATGTCAGTTATCAGAAATGTTCCCAGCTTGGGAAATTAGCCTTGAATCAAATATGGAGTTCTGGCTTTAAGCTTGATTGGAAACTTGAACACTCATGGATAGTTCAACAAAAAGCCTACTAGGAAGATGTAGACTTAAATTTGGCTCTGCCACTCATATAATAAAGGCCCCCTTCAGCTGTGCACTAATGTGTTTTTTAGACTGCAAATGTGTATATTCATTAGCTTGGTAAATAGTAGAGTATGATTAAATAATTTGGAAGAGTGGAATATACATACTGCATTTCTACCATAAGTCTATATTTAATGATGCTGGTAATCCTGCCTGAGCATTATATATTGGATAGTGTATAGCAGATCCCTTCCAAAAGTCCTAGAAGATCACTGATAGAACACATTAAAATTACATGTGTATATGTGAAAGCACTGTAAACAGCAAAATATGTATACAAAACTTTGTGTTAGTTACTAATATTTGAGAATTCAATCCATCATGAAAAAGTTGTAGTAGAACAAGTTAGTATGGCTTTTACGTGTCAATTTCAAAAACAACTTTTGAAATACCCAACCCTCTAGATATTCTTGTTTTTTTTTTTCTTGGAAAAATCAAGCCAAATGGGGAATTAGCAAGATAACAGAGAGAAATTCATGCTGAACAGTCTTGTGTTTTGACTGCTGAAGGGTTTACTTCATATGGCCATTCTGACCAAGCACACACATATTTTTTAGAAATGTGTTTAAGTAGATTCTGTATAGGTTGTTTCATTTCAATTAAAGTAGAAATAGAAAAATGTGAGGAGGAGAAAAGGGGCTGAAGAGAGAGATCTAAAGTTAAGAGTGTGTATTGCTCTTGCAGAGGGTCCAAGTTCAGGTCCCAGCATCTGTATCAGGAGACTCACAACTGACTGTAACTCCAGTTCTGGGGGAATTCATCACTCTGGATTTCAAGGGCACCTGTACTCACCTGCACATATCCCCAAGAAAAACACATGCACATGATTAAAAATAAAATAAAAATCTGAAAAAAAATAAAGAAGAGGTAAGTTAACTCTAAGAGTGTTGGCAACATGAAAAGATTACCACGAGGCAAAAAGTTAATACTGAACAGGTAGAACAGGTAGAGCACTTGCCATTACATCTGAAGCACCAGATTCAGTACATTGCATCACCACACACACACACACACACACACACACACACACACACACCCCTAACAAAACAACAACATGAATACAAGGTAAAGCACTTGGACAAGAAATCAGTGTACAAGTGCATAGTTTCCATAAAACTGCCCTTTTGTGCTGGTGTTGGCATTTTTCCAAAGGAAATAAAATCTACCTACATAATCACTGATTTATAAAACAATCAAATATAATCAACTACTCCTTGTTCAAGAGTACATAAATCTTTCTGACACTCAAGTCATACATTTTGATAGATTCTTTCTTATTGGGTGATCAGTTTGACTGTGAGTAAATGATTTTCACTATATATCAGACAGTGCATAGCAGATCCCTCCCATAAGTCAAATATTTTATGCTTTGGACCAAAAGGTTCTCATTACAGACCCTGATTATCAGCACACTACATACTGCCATGACAAATCTCTTTTTAATGGTTCTAGAGCCACCATGATTAGAATTATAACTCTGCATCAAAGGTGCCAATATTCATCAGATTCACCTCCACCTCAATTTTATACTTTGTCTTCTTGCTTCCTTGATTCCTCTCTGACCTGTTTGTGGTGAGAGCCAGTATCATTCTTAATCCAAATGCCTCAAGTTTGATATCCTCAGAGGGAGAAGAAATGATAAGACTGAAATTTGAACAGTTACAGGTTTTGTCAGTATTTTGTCTTTGGATAATAAATTAAAAATAACTCCATAATATCAGTTACCAACAAACATTTAGCCCAGTCTATAAAACAGCATGAAATCTTTAAATACAGAACAGCACTGAGAGACTCGGTGCTGAAAGCATTCAAGGCACAGCTGTTCAAGAAACAGTCAAGGGCATCAGAACTGCACACATGGTAGAGACTGGAGCGAGAGCACACACACACACACACACACACACACACACACACACACACACGTGGGGGGCTGTTCTTTGCTATGGTCTTAGGTAATGTGAGACAGCTGCCCCAAGTAGGTGGCCTCATAATTAGTTGGCTCTTCACCCTCTCTATACGCTTCACCTAAGAAAACCTGAAGCTATGAGGACGAATGAGCAGCAGCTCCTCTCCACAGAAACACTTGCGCTGTGCACCAGACGTGGTTTTAAATGGTGGAGATAATTGCTTAATTCAAGCTAGAGCAACTGGCCAAGTAAACATGTAGCAGCCAGGAAGCTATTAGCATGATTTTAAGGCAATTATTCCATTAGTGTTTAATAGTCTCCAATTAGTCTGCTCTATCAAAATTTGAATGTCTTCTTTTTCTCCAAAAATTCTGTGTTGAATAATGCAGAAAGGTACCATACTCATTTTGATGCCAGTTTTATAGTTAAGAATTTTGCCAAGTCTATTTTGTGTAACTATATGGGTATTGGGGTATATATATATTTGGTGAAATGGTGTGTGTGTGTGTGTGTGTGTGTTTCTTGGAAGTATTGGGGTGAAAGTGCAAGTCTCTGTGGGCCATTTACTTTAAATCTTATACTAAAGGGCTTAGGAATACTATGGAAAGTCTGTGTCTTCCAAATATCATCATGTTTATGACTCTACCAGAAACCAGAAGAAAAATCGAAGTCTCTGACCTCAAAGTTCCACTTAGTCCCATTAAAGAGAGAAAAAAATATTACTCTGTTTCTACAGATACCTCACTTCTTACCTCAGTGAGAACTTGTTGCCTCTCCCTAGGAAATATTCCATAAAATTTCTTTTAGGGCTCAGATCACTAATCAGATTTTAGGTCATTTATCTGCACTCAGTTTCTAGGTCTTGTTTGGTTTTGTTCTGAGGGCATGTTGCTTATTTTTATTCTATGAGTTGGAAATGGCAATTCCAGCACTGCCTATTTTAAAGAGTTTTTGGAAGGGTATGAACTAGCAGGCATAAATTGGCTTTGAAAAGTGAAGTGCTACAGACATTTATGGTAAGGCTCAAATGTGGCATCACACCATCTACCAGAGCTGGAATGCTACCTCAGGCATTCAACCTCCTTGTCTCTCTAGAGACTCTCTTCGCAGAGAGCTAGCACCTCGGTCCTTTCCCTTATTACCAGCTTGGTGCCAGAAGCAGGTGGGACCACCGGAAAATAACTGCCTAAAAAAACAAACAGAAAGCAAAGGAAGATGAAGATGCCCATGGAAGTGAGAGTGGAATTTCTACTCCTTCAAAAGAGCAATCCCTACTCTCACCAGGAAAATAGAATCGAGGCAAAGGGGAAGCTGGGTTGTACTTTTCCAGAGAGACAACTAGGCCCCTGGAAAGTCATTTGTTGAGGAAGGACAAAGGGAGAGACAACAGGGCCACCAAACATCCACTCCAATTGAGTTAAGATGCTGGTGAGTTCTAGTGCTTGTTTAGACACTTGGGATTTTTCCAGAAACCTGTTTTATTTCTTCCCTCTCCCTTATTTCTTAGGTTTCACTTCCATTCTGGTCCTCCAAACTAATCATGTTTTCATGAGGGGTTGGGATGGATAGGACAGATCGAAGGATATAGACCAGAAGGTTGAACTTAATAACTCAGCTCTACTCTAGGCAGGGGGTTGATTGCCCATGAGTAATTTGCCCTCCAGCCTAGTCTTGTAAGAATCGGATGTGCATACCCTTAGTCCATGTGCGTAACCAAATTGCTGAAGAAATAGAGGCATTTCCCCAGCTGCTGTGCTTGTTAACTGTCCAGAAACAATCTTCCGTCTTAGACACCTGAGTTAGGGACTACTGTGTACTCTGACCCAGAAAGCTGGCCAGTGCCCTGGTCCAGACCATGCACACCAGTCTAAAGCCTCTTGGTATCACGGAACTGTACCTGGATGGCCCTGAGCTTCCTTTCCTGTAGGCCGCCAGCTCAGTCACCTTTTTCGGGGCAATCTATTCATTATTCTCATTTCTACACTGCTGCTCAAGCGGGTTTCACTGCCTGGCTTCTGTCTGGAGCAGCAAATGTGTGGTCTGCAAGGGTTTGCTCTCCTCACCTAGGAGCTCTACCTTAAGCAGCTCTTTGACCAGACTCTCTCCTGGTCCAAGCCAATTAGGAAATGCTTGCTTTCTGCTTCTTGCCCGTTTCAGCTCCGTGTCAAGGACAGCGATTATGCTGCCGCCACCAGCACCACCGGTCCCTGAACTTTCATCACTCTTCAGAAAGCGCTTTGTCTCTTAAAAGGAGACTGGGGACGAATACTAATGATTGGGCTAGATTCTAACAGTGAAATTACCAGATCCTCCTAAGTCCACATCAAGGATAGACTCCTTGGTGTTCCGGAGCTAACTCCTGAGCCAGCCAGCTTCCTCCCATAGCGCGCCATGGAGCCACAGACTCAGAAAGCTGACCTGCCTTGCTCCCAGACCCCTTGAGTCTTCAGGGAAAACCAAAGAAGGGGGCCCAGGGCAGGATCCTGGAACTCCCCCCCCCCCCAAGCCCCGCTGTAGCCGTGTGAACACAGCCTGCTTCTGAAGCCCAGGGGAAGCAGTCACCTTGACTCCCGGTGCCAGGGTCTTCCAGGATTTGGAAAACCCGGGTACCCACCCCCTGGACGAGCTTCCCTCCCTCAGGCACGAGGCAAGTTAGCATTGAGTGTAAGATGAAGCAGGGCGGGGCAGGTGCAGCGGGTACCTACCTGGGATCGCTAAATTGGTGAGGGGGATGCTATGGATGCTCTCAGGCAGAGTTGCCATCCAGTCGGCGAATTTCAGCTCGTTTTTCCCCTGAGAAGAAGCCATGGTGCCGGTCTGCTTTCCGCTGCGCTGGTCCCCACACTCCTAGGCACAGACTGGCAGCTGCTGGCGCTAAAGCAATGTTTGCTTCGGCCCCGCTAGAGTTTACACTCTGCTCAGCGCCACACCCACAGGATGGCGCAGACACATGCTCATTTTAATAATTATTCAAAAACACCCCATGCTCTCTTCTTGCCTTTGCCAGACTCCACTGCCGGGGCTTTTGTTCCTGACGTCCGTGCTCCTCCGCTCTCTGCTCTCTCCCCCTCCCTTCAGACTCCCTCCTCCCGTCTCAACCCTCCTAGATGGCTCTGCCTTTCCTCGCCATACTGTGACTCCCCACCGCTTCTTCTTATTAGTCTTTTATCTTTTTAAAAACTTGGTTTTTCACGCTGCTTTGTCCCTGGTCTTTCTCTGTCCCTTGGTATGACTTCCTGGTCCTGTTTGCATAAAAGGCAGTCTTGCAGTTGAATCTAAAAATACTGGTAGACTTTGGAGTGTTCTTGCCTCCTGAAGATCAGGTTCATCTTCGGCTCCCGAGACTTCGCATTCTTCCCAAAGAGTATTCCTATTCCTAAGCCACAACAGGTTATGCCCTCCCTCAGTCCGAAACCTCAACCCTATTTGTACAAAATGGTGGTCTTTATTTATCACTTTCCCTAATTTTTGGAGGAGCTGACACACCCCGACGGGGCAGTATATATTACAATATGGTTCTTAATTCGTGGTTGCACACATTTCACAGTCAAGAAGCATGGCTGCAGGTTGCGAGGACCCTCTATTGCTGGAGTGATGTCCTTCGTTTCTTGGTTTCCTGGCATTCAGGATAAGATGAAAGTCTGATGCTGGAAGAAAATCACATCTCCCAATGACATGCTGCAATTACTGCCAGTAGCATTTGGTGGAATGTATTTGGCACCATTTGAAGTGATCTATGTGATTGTTTGGATTTTCATTCCTTGGCAGACAAGAGAGATGTGTCTCTCCAGAGAGTAATCACTAATGTGGCTCCAAAGAACTGTCTGGGTCCACCTGCTCCCAAGTGAGAAAAAAGGGAGATTGAGCCTTACAAATGTAATGAGACTGGCATCAGCCTGAATAGGACTACATGAGTCCGACTGAACGTGTGTGGGTCTTTGCCACTCAGACTAAGGATGGGCATAGGAGGCTTGTTTTCCTGTGGAGTGGTGTGTAAATTCTTCCACAGGAGGAAATCCTATAAAGTTGAAGGAATAAAAATCAAGGTAGGAGAGGCAGCACTATGAAACAGGGCATGATCATTTCAGTTCAGTAAACCCATTTAGCATTTTAAAAGCCAGAGAGCCTTCTTAGTTTGTGCAAGGATGATACAGCCAAAGACAATTCCCATCTATTGGAAATCACTATGGGCAAGGTAGGGAGAAGAGAGATAGTGCTCAATCTTTTCATCAAATTTTCTTTTTCTCCCCATGGAAACAGTTCATAGTGTCATGAGGACATGCTAGGTCTATCTTTAGGGATGAGAATGAAATGTACTGGAACTTCTGCTCAAGGAACTCTGAATGTTCTCACTAGCATAACAAACCCTCCTATCATTTTAGTTAAAATGAGAATCATCTCACTCTGAGCTTGTTGGTCAGGGGAGCTATAAGATCACTTTTTTGACTAATGCCAGTATTCTCAAGGCAGCTGCACTGTCTCTAAGGAAAGTCCATCAGTTCTGGTAGCCCAGTTTTCTCCATGATACGGTCCTGATAACTGTGAGATGTGTGGTGACACTTCCAGGAGATAACGTAGATGTTTGCTGAAATAGGAGGATCTGTATATTCACTTGTTTTTTGTTTTTGTTTCTGTTTTGTCTTTTTGAGGCTGTCCTAGCCTTTTAAGGTATTCTTTCCAGGGTGGCAGATTAAGTTTGCAACCTGGGAGATATTGTTTTGTAAGATATACTTGAAAAATACTCTCTGTCCAAATGCATTGTGAGGATGTGTCCTGAAAACTTTAGGAAACGGTTTTTAAAAGATGATTTTGTCCTAAAGTAGAATTGCCTCTTCCTCATGAAACCTGAATGTTTACTCTTAAAGCCTTCAACTGGTTGGATGAGGTCAATACATATGATAGCAGGTAATCTGTTCTATTCAAATGATTGTAAACATTACCTCATCTACAAAGATCTGTATAGTCAATACCTACTGTAGTATTTGTACAAACAGCTAATCATCATAACTCAGCCAATTTGTGACATGGAAGAAAGCATCACACTCACTGGAAACCTAATACAAATTAACTTTTGAACAGCTAGTCATCATAACTCAGTCAACTTGTGATGTACAAAAACTCCATCATACTCCTAGAAAATTAATACAGAGTTTGCTATCAACCTCCAGATCTCTTTGGGACTCTATCAGTCTCTAATTCTGTTGATGTTGAGAGTGCTACATGCATGGTAGTTAGAAATAAAAAGAGAAAAAAACATAGATATTTGTCTTGGATTTTTAATCAGGCAAGCAAGTCAAGGTAGGGATCTGTATTCTTATACCCACAACATGAGGAATGCCATTGAAGTTTCATTGTGAAGTTTCACAGTAATTTATTGTTCTAGTTTCATTATGTTGCTGTGATAAAACACACTGATCAAATTCAACTTGGGGTGGCGAGGGTTTATTTCATCTTACACTTCCATGTCATGTTTATCTTTGAGGGAAATCAAAGCAGGGAAACAACACAGAAACCTGAAGCTTACCCTGCTTGCTATTCAATGCAGTATTACCTCAGACAAGCCAAGAGAGCACAGCAACAACCATGGTGGATGCCACTTGTTAACTGGCTTGCTTCCCTTATAGACTCATGTTTAGGAAGCTCTCTTATACAACCAGGACTACCTGCCTGTGGATGGTCCCAGTCACAGAGGGTTAGGCTCTCCTGCACCAATTATTTTTTTTAAAAAATCATCATATTCATGCCTACAGGCCTGCATGATCTAGCTAATTCCTCAACCAAGGTTTTTCCTCTCAGATTGACCCTAAGCTGTATTAATCTAACAATTAAAACTACCTAGGACCCACACACGTTCAAAAAATCAAAGTCTTTTAAGCATAGATGAAATGGGTAACATGAGTTGAAGTAGTATAGCCCCTTAAACTTCTTCTCACCATCCACTGTCCATCAAACTCACACAAGGCAGAGGACCTAAAAGTGGCTACCCCTCTCAACCATCTCCTTACTTTCTGCTCATTTGTACCCATAAAATACAGTAACTGTTTGCCTTATCTGTTCATTCAGTTCACAATCTCCCTTAATTGTGAAAATAAGTTTCCTTTTTTAAGCTAAATTTATTTTAAATTGAGTTAGGAAAGATAAGAACTCCTAGAAGCCAGGAAATTCTACAATGCATTTTGGTCAGATAATGCTTCAGAAGAGAACATGTGCTTCAAGCAATTCAATCACTGTTTTCTAGACAGTGTTTGCAAATTCATACTTCTAGAGTCAAGCTTAAGGAATATGCATACACCAAAAGCAATAATCTTTATAAGATTGATATTAATAAACATGACTTTCTTACCATTCTCTATAACACCTACCTAAATATTCCATCCAAAGAAATTTACTGTATCTGAAAAACAAAAAAAATGTTTACATTTTAAGCTAAAACACAGTTCAATCCTTTCTTTGCCCCACTATTTTAACACTACAGAGATTTCTGTCTTTCTTTCTGTATTTACAGTCCATATGTTATCCAGAAAAAGTTAACTAAATCTTCTCGATATAATTTAGTGATGGAATGATAAGCTATGAGATATGGAGACCTAGATTCATAGTTAGGCTTCCACACTTCGAAGCTATGTGCTACTTGGTTTCCTTTCCTGGAGCTTAAAGAAAGATGATTTGTCCCTGGGAATGAGGAAATATGAATCCTATGAAGTTGAAGTTAAGAAAGGAAATGTAAAGTTTATGGAACAGAATGAGAGCTCAGAATACTGAAGTTCCTTTTTATGCTTCTCACCCTCTGTGCTTTTTCTTCCTGCTTATCCTATACATGCCCTTCAGGCTTTCACCTGTCAAGATTCTTCTTACAAAACCAACTCTCTTTACAATTGTCCTTACCATGCACAAGCGAAAGTAATCTCTCCTTCACCTCTGCAGCCGTTGGTGCGTGTTTGGGACTATAATGTTTCATGTTTCCAACTCCCTCGTTGGTCTTAAAGCACAACTAGGACAGACATGGTTTTATTTAGTATTCTATAATGCCTGTCACAATGACTAAGATATAAACGTACATTCTAATAATTAATTTTACTCACTTATTTCATAAATATTTATTGACTATTTCATATGTGCTTTGTCCTAGACAAAGAAAATGGAGCATAAAGTCCCTGAACTCTTTGAAGTTTTTGAATACATGTTCTAGGGGAAAGGTGTCAAATGATACCTCAATAGATGAATAAATAAGTGATGTGGATGTGTCTCTCACACTTCAGGGAAAGCCTCCTTTAATGTCTCTATTTTTAGTCCTCCACCAAACAGAAAAATAGTCAAAGGCTTAGACCTCATTGTTGAAAATATATCTTGAAAGAAGAATTGGTTTAAGAAAACACTTGGATGCTCTGACTGTGTGGTTTTTCCTTATCTTCTTCTCCCCATTGTTATCTTATTAAGTTAGTACTGGCATTTGGAAATTCTATTTGGTACTCTTCTAGATCCCCAGAGGTCTATTACTACAAAGTACATGGTTTTTCAAAGCATCAGGATTGGCAGAGATGGGGATAGCCTGGAAAGGAAGAGAAAAATTGCTTCAGATCAATGCACTGAATCAGAAAAAAAGATGAATCAGAAAAGGCTATTCTTGTCATTGATAAAAACTTACAGCATCTGTACCAATGATATTTGCACCTGTCACAAGTCAAGAGTAACTCAGAAAACCACATAGGAATAAATCGAATATGAAAGAATTGGGATATTATTTAGCTTCAAAAGGTAATGAAGTCCTAATATCTGTTATAAAACAGGAAATTTGAAGAAAATACACAAAAAATGAATATTGTATGAGTCCGTAAACCTGAGGTTCCTTATTAGTAAATGTACAGAGACTGAAATTAGAATACTTGCTATTAAAGGAAGGGGCAATGAGTAATGAAGATTTATTGCTTGGTGGGTAGAGCCTCACTTCAGGGTGCTTAAAAGATTCTGAAGATGATATATAGTGCAGTGAAAGGACATTGTGGTAAATGCATTTGGAGCCACCCAAATAAACACTTAAAATGCCATTGACTTCTGGATAAAGTATTATGCTAATTTAATTGATTTTAGAGACCCCTTTGCTGGATAGTTCATCTTCCAGGCAATAGCTAGAAAGCACATACTTGAAGTTGAGGGGATTCCATTTCCTATTTGCTGCAGTGAGGCAGTGTATTATCACAACCAAGAACAAAGCTACGGAGTGAAGATACACACTTCGTATGTTCTATAATATGCTTGTGTTCAGCAGAACTCCAAGGCTTTGCTGATAGTACTGGAACAATTCCTGATGCCAAGGAGTATTTTACTCTTCTGTCAATAAGTACACAGAATAGTAAAATTTATCTAGGGTTACCCATGCTGCCAATGATGAATTTCACTGTTAATGTTGACCCATACTTCCTAGGTAACATATACTTGTACTTTATGCAAAGAAATTGATGCAACCATTATTTATTGTAGGTCATGGATGGTCTTGCACAGGTATACCAGGAAAAACCTTTTGTATATTCTTGATGTTCTCAACAGTCTCACAGCTACAAAGAGGTGAAGATGATCACTGCTGTGGGGTAATTCACTCAGTTTCTGTTTCCAGTCTCTTCTTGCAATACCTCCAAAGTATTTATGTCTAGAGCTGCCTTAGAGAAGGACTGTGAAAAGAATAGTCTGGTGATGAGATTTCAGTTTAGTCCTAGTCCCAGAAATAAGTTCGATGCATGGAAGATGATGTCACAGATTTGGTTGTGATGGAAGAGAAACAAGTAGCTGGCTCTTCAGGGAACTTTGGGCAATGTTGGCAAAGGCTGACTTAGAGACTTTGACATTTCATGCTTCTTCAGTTTCTCACTGATGCTCTTCCATAACTTATGATTATTGCCTTTTTAAAGTGTCTGCTTTAGTTTGTTTGGAAACAGTATATCATGCCATTCAGGCTGGCCCCAACTTTGCTTGGTGGCTGAGGCTGGACTTGAACTCCCAGTCCTACTCTTTCAGCCTCCCAAGTGTTGATACTACATGTATGATCCAGCACACTTGGCTAAGACTATGGCATTGACTAATGAAGATTTGTTTTAAACATTGGATATTCATTGTGATTTAGTAGTAATCTTGTGTTTAAAACTCTGTGTGGCCCTTATATTAGTTGCTTTTCTTGTTGCTGTGAACAGCACAAGACAGGAATAAGCTGAAGACAGGAAGGAATTATTATAGCTCATGAATTGGGAGTACAATCTGACATGGTACAGGTGGCATACTGATGGAAGTATAAGGGCATGGTGATGTCATGTCAGTAGACAGGAAGCATAGACATATATGTTGATATGGAGCTCACTGTCTTTATTTTTCCTTTTTATTTAATTCATGAGCCTAGACAATGGATGATGCCACCTATTTTCAGGATCAGTATTCTCTATTCAATCTTTAACCTCTTGGGAATATAACTCCCAGACATTCCCAGAGATGTATCCCATGGGTAATTCTAAAGTTGGCAATGAAGATTCACCATCATATCTCTTTCTCCTTAAATATAATTTGATCTTGTTGCTTTCATGATATAATCAATTTAAACAGTAAAGGCATTCCTTCTTACACAAATTAAATATAAGTATGCTTTACAGAAATCTTACTCTTTAAGAAAGTCAATACCATGCTATTTATAATATCTACAGTACATGACTGATTGTAGTATACCTGACAAACAGATTTTAAGAATGAGAATAAAACAAAATGATTCATTCTGTTTTATAAAATTATTTATAGTTTCCAAAACTTAAGAATAAAATATCATAGTCAAAGTCAAAAATAAAATATCAATGTCAAGATTAGTTACAAACAAGAGCTGCTCCGAGTAACTGTCCACAACTCTAATGTTGAATACAAGTGGCACAATTTGCTCTGCACATGTCATCATAGCCTGCTATTAAAGGCCCCAAAACAACTCACTTCATGGCAAATACCAAATGTACGTTTAGTTCATAAATGCAGTTGACATTTAGTATTGTTATTTTAAATATTTCATCATAGAAATTTTAAACATCAAAGTAGAAATTAATACATTAATTAGTTAATTAATATGCCAGTACATGTTCAACCACTCAGTTTCAATAATAGCAGCAGCTCATGAGCAACTTTTTTATTTTCACACACTTGCCTTCCAAACTAGATTATTTACAATCCATATAGTATAGCATTTAATACATAAAGTTTTGGTGTTAATAATCATTTAATTTAGTAATAAATCCAATTCAGAATTTCAAATTAAGTAAAGCAGCAATTTGCTAAATTAACTGACCAATTTCTCTAGTATGGCAAACTAACTACTTAAATACAATAGCAGTGTAAAGTTTAAAATATTTTTACTTAAATTGGGCCAAATAGAGAATAAATACATACAACTTGTATTCTAAGGAAATTATAAATAGTAAGGTAAAGTTCACAAATCTAGACTACCTTTACATGTACACTCTTTGGTTCACTTTTGTGTGATTGGTGTGATTTATTGAAGCTCACACTAACTTTTGTGTATCTAAGAATCATTGTAATCATATGAATTCTGGATTATCAAAACCATTCTCTTTTAAAGTGATTGAAATATCTGTATGCTTATCAATTTAATGTTTATTTAAATATAAAAGCATGTGTTTCTAATATGAACAGCTAAGATGTGAACTTCATTCTTCATATAACACACCAAGTAAATATGACTGTTAAATCATTTTTATTACATAGCACATTTATATGACATAATGTTTCTTTTTATATTCCACATAAGAAATAATATATTTCATTTAATTATTGAAGTCATCTTGAAAAAAATCTGATGAAACTTTAAGATTACATTTGCAGATGTCTTTATAAATATATCTAAAGAAATATAGCGTGTTTCTAAGAATTAGATGTGTGTGTTGGAATAATAATCTTAATATTTTTACTGAGTGTTAAATGGCTATATGTGGAATCAAAGTGTCTTTGAAAGCATATAAAGAAGAGTTTGTATACAAATGTGCCTTTAGATACACTGCAGAAGTTATTGCAACATTTATACCATATCAAAGAAGAAAGAATTATTGACATAAGATGACGTAGGAGCTGCTTTTCTGGCTTAAGCAAAGACAATTGTAGCTCTAAAAGAGATGGATGTCAAAATCTATCATAAATCACATAGCCACTGACACAAAAGCCCCAAAAGAGACTGCAGTGCCTCCGCACCTCATTTCCCTGGTCTGGGAGGTTATAATCTTTCAAATACAGTGGAAGACAATAGGAAAATAAGAAAACATAATTGAAAATTTCCTCTCATACATACTCTTATAAAATGAAGTTATGGAGTTGCTTCCCTGAAATACAAAATTAGAAAGCATGTAGCTTCCAAGTTAGTCAGGAAGAAACACACATGGTTAAAGGAAATGGGAAATGGAACATTACTCCAAGTGAGTAATGGTGATTTGCAAACATGGGGGTCACAACACTAATCATGCTTTTGTAAGAAATTTAACCATGAAATACCTAAATTTATAGTTAAGTATGGTAGCCAAGTATATAACTGGCTACAAAGGAGGAAATTTTAAATTATTTATAGCAGCTAAGCATGATGGCACACACAGTTCAATAGAATAGTGCTTTCCTAGAATCCCCAAAGCCCTTGATTTGACCCTTAGCTCTGAAACACATGCATATGTACATAAAATTTTTATAGTCAAAACTTACACCCCACCATTGTCACATATCGTACATAATCATAAACTTAATTCTTTATAATTATCACTGATCGTATCATTTTCCAAGAGATATTACCCATTTTACCTTGTTAGTAACTCTGATTAATGCAACTGAAAAAAATACATCTGCTATTGTGTCTATTCATACCTGCTATTCACAAGTATGAAAAAAGTCTAAGCTGTCTCTTAGGAAAGATATTAATAGGTCTGAATTGACTGAAGTTCATTATTATGGACACAAAGGAGATAGATTGACCTC